ACGTACATCCCCCTCCTTCCTGTCTCTCTCTATCTCTCTCGATAATTATCTGTCTACAGGCGCGTATGCAGGGGGGGGGGGGGGAGGGGTTGAAACCCCTCTTCAACTTTTTTTAATGAGTGTGTTTTGGAGGAACCCCCCCCCCCCCCTTCAATTTCTTTTTTTTTAATTAAAAAAAGAAAAATCCTGCGTACGGTGGCCTAGCAGGTGCAAATTTTGTGTGCAATGTTCCGGCGTGTGTGCATTAGAATTTGCTCGTGTGTCTCTCTCACCCTTGTTCTCTCTTTTCCACTCTGGTAATTCATTATTAGTAGGGAAATAAGATTCATGGAAATTGGACATTGAAAATCGCGCCGACCGATATTTCGCTCAGTGCGGGGGGGGGGGGGGGAGGGTGTTAGAGAGAATTTTGCTTTCTTCTACTCAGCACCCCCCCCCCCCCCTCCTCCTTCAGCAAAAAAAAAAAAAAAAAAATGAGGTGGGGGGGGGGGGGGGGTAACTCCCAAAACTTTAAATTTGTTTTTATAAACCGTCAATGAAATATAAGAATATATAAATTAAAAGAGTTAATTCTCTTCCAACATCAGTAAGGGTCAAGTCTTGACATTTTCATGCTTGGATGGGCTCAATCATTTTAACGTTAGAAGGTCTGATTAAACGAAAAAGGTCAAAAAAGGGCATGAAGCCATTAAAGTGTTGATGAACATGTGTATCTGTAAGACATTCTCGTTCAGCAATAAACAAAAATTAGGAGAATTGAGCTCTGGATGTCAACTGCAGTCTCAGGACTGCATGGTTTTGACAAGCAATTAGGTCAAGATGCCTCTTGTCTCCACCAAGATCGTGGACGAGCCATGGGATACCTCCAATGCTCATCAACATTTGAAAGGCCAGATGCCCCATTTTTGCAACTTTCTCTCAGACTCGTTTATTATTAAATGGCTATACTCACTCATATTCATTAATGGGTCGATTCCAATTACATATCATCTTAAAGAGGATTAATTCAAATTTATTATCATGTCGGAAAGATAAGTATATATTAAATATTTTTTTGAAATCTTACTATAAATACTTTCCATCCCGAGTGTTTACATGTATTATATATAGAGAGAGAGAAAGAGAGAAAGAGAGAAAGAGAGAAGGGGGTAGGTTAATGAGATGGACTGGAAGAGAAGATATTCATACATACATATGCGAGTTCGTCAAGTCATTTTACAATAACAGTGAGAACAGTTACATGAATCTTAAACTAAAATTTGCACGAGTTATAAATGCCACTTCATCCAACTGTGTCCGGTACAGACACTATGGCCCGAATTCACAAAGCAAGGTTTGAGCTCAGACCAAGGTTTGAGCTCAAACCTCCTTTTGTTTCGCCAAACCTCCCTTTGTTATTTACAAACCAGGTTTGAAAATAACAAAAGGAGGTTTGGCGAAACAAAAGGAGGTTTGAGGTCAAACCTTGGTCTGAGCTCAAACCTTGCTTTGTGAATTCGGGCCTATGAATATGACTGACAAAGAAAGCGGCCAAAATATACCGTTCCTCAGGTAGACAAAGGAACATCCCTTTACTGCTATTATGTAAAAATTTGTAGAACAGGTGCCACATAGTTACATATTCACCTGTTCTACACGTTTTTACATAATAGCAGTGAAGGGATATGTTCCTTTGTCTACCTGAGGAACTGTATATTTTGTCCGCTTTCTTTGTCAGTCATATTCATAGTGAGATGTACAAAGTTTCACTTTTTCATTTGCATATTGATAAATGTACATTTCACATTTTGTCTACAGCAAGTAATATCCAATGTGTATTACCGTATCCAGACACCCACCCCCAGTCAATTTACCCCTAGGACAACTATCCCCTAGGGCAACCACCCTCCAGGACGACTACCCCCCCCCCCGGGACAACTACCCCCCGGACAACTACCCCCTAGGACAACTACCCCCCAGACAACTACCACCCAGACAACGGGGGGGGGGGGGGGGTAGTTTTCCAAGAGGATGGTTGTCCGGGTTGTAGTTGACCGGGGGTAGTTGTCCCAGGGGGTAGTTGACTGGGGGGTAGCTGTCCCAGGGGGTAGTTGACTCGGGGTATTTATCCGATGGGTGGATGTCCGGGGTAGTTGTCCAGGGGGTAGTTGTCCTAGGAGGTAGTTTACTGGGGGGGGGAGGGGGTAGCTGTCGCAGGGGTAGTCGTCATAGGGGGTAGTTGACTGGGGGTGGTTATCTGAGGGGTGGATGTCCGGGGGTAGTCATCCTAGGGTTAGTTGACTGGGGGTGGTTATCCGAGGGATAGATGTCCGGGGTTAGTTGTCCAGGGGTTAGTTGTCCTAGGGGGTAGTTGACTCGGGGTATTTATCCGATGGGTGGATGTCCGGGGGTAGTTGTCCAGGGGGTAGTTGTCCTAGGAGGTTGTTTACTGGGGGGGGGAGGGGGTAGCTGTCCCAGGGGTAGTCGTCAGAGGGGGTAGTTGACTGGGGGTGGTTATCTGAGGGGTGGATGTCGGGGGTAGTCCTCCTAGGGGTTAGTTGTCTGGGGGTGGTTATCCGAGGGATAGATGTCCGGGGTTAGTTGTCCAGGGGTTAGTTGTCCAGGGGGTAGTTGTCCAGGGGGTTGTCGTCCTAGGAGGTAGTCTATGGGGGGGTAGCTGTCCCAGGGGGTAGTCGTCATAGGGGGTAGTTTACTGGGGGTGGTTATCCGAGGGATGGATGTCCAGGGGGTAGGTGTCCTAGAACCATGTAATACATCTTCAATTTCTTTTCTTATCATATCAACTTGACCCGCCATAAATTACAATATCTATGGCAGCAGAATTGATTTGCTATCATGAATAGGAATAAATAATAAATAGCAATTGTGACATGTTTAAACAAACCTCAATGTGTAAAACACATGATTTCATTCATGGTGAATTTGAGATACTTTCAGAAATAATTTAATTATGAAACATGTATTCAACAATCAATTCTAGCCTTTCATTGCAAACTTTGCTGATCTCTACAAAAGATACCATACGAACAAGTTAATTTCTACATAAATATATTTTGATCATGGTGCTTTGTGACATTCAATAATCAAGTTGATACCCTTTATTCTCAAATAAAAATTAAGTTGAAAACATCAACACATATACATATATATATAATATAATTACATAGTATAATGATTTGTACAGTAATATCCTTTGAAGAACAATAAATGTGTACACTAAAAATACCACATGACCAGTGTAAACCTAATCCAGAACTCAGGTATGGGAACCAATACATGAGCAAATTAATAGCATTAGATGGCTTAACTCGTTCTGAATTGGTTATCTCGACTTAGAAGTAATATTTTGCCCCCCTCCTCCTCCCACCCACAAGAAAAAAATTACCAAAACTTGGCTAGCAACCACATTCACTGAAAAGCATGACATGCTTGTCTGCTAAAAGCCAGGATGGCATTCCTCATAATCATTTTATTCAGAGCCTATAGGGCTATTTTTGAACAGTATGGTCTAGTACATTAAACAACTAAATAACTTTTGTAAGTTTTGTAATTATTTAAGTATGTCACAAATGTATTTGTCCTGATTTCTGTTGTTTTGAGAATGGGACATATTAAAACTTGCATTTAGAAGTATTCACCGAGGGCCCCAATTCAACCAGTCCACCTTTCATTCTTGAGTTTAGATAACAAACACCAGAGGGTGTTTCACAAAACTTGTCATCAGTGACAAATGACAGTCTTTGTAATAAGCTACTGAAATCCTTGCTTCTGATTGGTTATCAGCAGTTTTGTCACTGATTTTTGTAATTTGTCATTGTAAAAAGGCTTTGTGAAACGGGTCCCAGGAACATCAAAGCTGCAAGGGTTATGAATAATTCAGTTGTTAACTGTACATGTAGCTCAATGTTATTATATTTATTTAGTCATTTCTCAAGAAGTTTACACATTCTACCAATAGTATTTTGTGTAATATATCATAAAATTACACCTTGATCATTCAAAGTATTATCTGATTCTATAATCCTTTATTCTAGCACAATGAAAGATAAAGGCACTTTGTTAATGCAAAATTTGTGTTACTTTTTTTTCCCCATTAACACCACTAGAATTCAAGATGACCCTTACTATATCACCAGCTGCAAGAAACAAAGATAAAAAACAATAAACTAGATATATATCTACATATATGAATACAGAGGAAGATGTGAAAGTGAAGTATAAAGCATCTATAAATTACGTAAATATAGATTTGGTCATGTATTTCAAATTATTTTGGCAATCAAGGGGACCAGTTTCTTTTACAAAGATACAAAAACTTTACTATAAGGCACAATAACAGCAAAATACATTTTATAACAACCTGAATTTTAGCTACTTTTTTTCAGATACGTAACATACATTTATCAGTTTGCTCATCAGAAAGTCATTATCTAGAAATCCATGACCAGCAAAAGTGATTGAGAAAAGACACAGCTATTTGATAATGACAGGAGTTGAACAAGACTTTGTTCATTGACTGAAATTCAGTGTTGTAACATCTGGGGGTTGTTTCACAAAGACTAAGAGCACCTAAAGTATGAACTAGAAGTATGGCAGGCCATTCATGCCACTGGTTGCTCTCACCCCCACTGGTCTCTCAAGGGACGTCACAAATCTACAGAATTTACATTTGTTGATAGTTCATTGTGGAAAGAAAAAAAAAGGAATTTACATTGTAAACGTAAGTTATATTTAAGACTTGGACTTATACTAGGGTAGGTGATTTATGCCCTTAAATAGTTTTGAATCAGATGTAAAATTAGAAGGAAAATCCCTTAAAAATTATGATCTTTATACAATATTACTTCCTTCGATAATGAGCTATGAAAAAATGTGAATTCTATGGATTTGTGAACACGATTTGTACATCACTTGAGAGACCAATGCCAGGAATGGTGAGAGCAACCAGTGGCATGAACGGCCTGCCATAGTTCAAGTCCAACTTAAGTCGATCTTAGTCTTTGTGAAACACTCCCCTGTTCATTCGAACAGAGCCAGAAGGGCATTAACTGACATCATTTTGCATACAGAGTTAATGCCCTACTGGCTCTCAACAGATACATGTAAGTTCACATTACTCATAACTTAAAATCCTTATGGATAAACACGATCAATATTTTGAGAATAATGGAATCTGCCGAGATTGACGAGTATCCAGTACTACAGCAGTATAAACACAAAGTTAATTCCCTTTTGACTCTTAAAGCCACACTGCACTACTTAAAGCTACTCGCTCCCTCTATATAACAAACAATGCATAATCGGTGACCATTGGTCCCCCATGATCCTCTTTTTCTTATGTTAACTGATAGCTGATTTGATGAGATAACCACCTGTCCAGTGACCTTGCAGGGTAGTCTAATCCCTCCTGTTCACTAGTATTGATGCGCTTTAAGAGATAAATTTATAATCACTGATAACATAACAATGACATGGATACCATGATTCAATATTTTACAATAGGAGAACATCATCTCATCCGTTTGGAGCCAGAAGGGCTTTAACTTGTATCAGCTTCTAAAGGGGTCCTAGAACTATTCAGTTTATGATGTAATCAAGTTAGAATATGTTGATTGATGTACTATTATCAGTCCCTTTTTATGTAACAGATTATATCATGCTTTGTGTGGTTTTGAATAAAATGAACTGAACTGAATGAACCGAACTGAATTAACCATAGACTTAACACTCATCTTTCTCTCAAAAGACGATGTAATCTATAATTCCATTTTGTATAATGCATAGTAAATCTATGTCAGGAGCTTGACGGATTGATCTTTTACCTTGCTTTCACAATAAAGATTGTTCTCACAAAAGGCACACATTTGCATATAAATAGAACAAAATATTTTCATGATGTCATGATAATAAATGACCCACCGGAAAAATGAACCTTTGTATAATACACATCAAAAAATCATTTTAAGAAACTATACTTGCATATAATGAACCCTGTGATATTTACCTGTATATGTATGTCATTTTTAATATTTAAAATGTTAGCTTAGTAGAAGAAGTTGGAACAGAAACTATAGTCTGTGAGCATACCCTGTATTTGACACTGACCAGTAAACTGTCATCTTTCTAAAAATTTATGCAAAAGGGTTATTAATTTCATGATTTGCTACACAGCGAATGATGTTTCTTCGTTCTGTATTATTAGTAGTATTATCTATGAAGAAAAGTTACAAAATGATTTGTTTCAACATACTTGACAGAAAAATATGTAAAGTGTAGGCATGACGGCATGGATGAATTTATTCAATTTTCAGGCAAAGTTTATGAAATAAATCCTATCACTTTCTTGTCTCTATTTCAAATCTTCATTCAGGTACTGAAGAATCAATTTGTGTATGTCAGAAAGTATGAGAGAAGGCAGGGACAATAATAGAATATACAGGCTCACTTTGAATCATCGGTCATCGCTTCTGGTCTGTTGGGCACATAACATGACCTTTTGTGAAACGATACCGGAAGATGACGCGATCTTTCGTAGATTTGCTGTAGGGTCTCCACAAAATGTCAGGTAAATAGGACCAGACCATTTGTAGATGAGAGGGGTTTATTTTGCAAACATTCCCCAAACATTTTGTAAATGAAGGGGCGTTTATCCTCAGCAGGTTTGGGTAACGCGACCACCCAACTGGAAGCGATTGCCAGAGGATTCAAAGTAAGCCAAATATACATGCCAGATCCGGACATTGCTTTCTCTTCACATGATGTCCATGGACCGGTTTCACAAAGCCTTTTTTCAATGACAAATCTGCTGATAACCAATCAGAAGCAAGGATTTTCACTAGCTTATAACAAAAACTCTCATTTGTCACTGATGACAAGTTTTGTGAAATGGGGCCCAGGACCAACTACAGCAAGTACAATACGACCAGAAGTCCAAGACTTGCAGATGGCCAGCCATACACTTCCTGTCCCTTGTCAGAACTTCAGAACTATTACAGAAATTTGTTCATCCTTACTTCCATTTAACCTCTTCCACAAAGCTACTTTGCTCTTGCATGAAAAACAAAATAAATGACTGGTATAAAAGATGATAAGGCAGTCTAGTTGAAAGTCTAGTTGGTGATGTGATCTCCAGCCTTTTGTCCAAAAGCCTTGGACCTTACAAGTGAGCTTAATATTCATTCAATGCAGAAGAAAAGTTAATTTTTGTTGTTCATGCTGCCACAAACCCTGTAGAATGTAATTGTAGTCCCTGAGGTGAAATGAGATGCTAATGATGACTCAATCTCATTGTTCTCTTATACTTCTGCTCACAGAATGCGCTGAGAGGTCAACAACTTACATTTCTAAAAAAGTAAAAGAAAGAAAATTCAAATAATAAAAATAAAAAGTAAAGACGCGCTTCCTAATGCTACGGTCACAAAGGTTTGTACGAATGATAATTTTGTACGAATCTCCGTTTTTCCATTGTCTTCCAGAATTGCCATTGTCTGAAAATCGTTCGTACGGCGTTCGTAGCAGTTAGTAATGGCATTTGTGACCGACGCTTTACATTTTTTTTCATTTTCTTATTGGTACAGAATGTGCCAAAACGTCAAAACCTCGCTTTTGTAAACTCAAACAAAGAAAAATATGAAATAGAGAAAAGAAAAAGTAGAAAACTATTAAATTACAGCAGAGGTGTTGTGGTCAAGAAATTGAACAACAGACTAAATATACCCTGCATGTTGATCTTGGCATTAGAGCCTTGGCAACAAACCGTTGTCATAGCTAAGGCATTTTTATCTGCATTGGGTCTCTCTACCGGGGTGTATATCAAAATATGCATCATGAAGAAAGTCGCCATCTCGAAGGATTGAATTTAATAGCAAACAGGTATGCAACCCGGAGAAATAGCCACTTGTTGGGATGCCCCGAGGATTGGACAGTGCGCAATGTTCATGTAAGAGCAGAGAGAAACTAGAATCTAGTGACCGAAGGTGAAAAATGACTACCAATATGTAGAACGTATAACGTTCTCAAAATTTAGTAGGAAGTGCTATAAAAATGTACAAGTACTATGTAATATTGTTTCCTACTACTTTGTAACGTACTTGACTGAACAAATAAATTGTGAAGGTAGAACTTTCTTTAAAGTGTGCTCACTAAATCCACTCAGAAAACAAAGTAACATTTGTAAAAGGTGGCAATTCTCTTTTGGCAAAATAAGGCTTCTTCTTATTGCTTGTTTGTTTGTTTGTTTTACCTGACTGCTAAAAGGCATGTGTATGCTTGTAAGTAATCAACCAGACTTTAAGTCCGGGACTTGGTAATGAGGATTAATGCCTTAAAAAAGGGCATGAGCGCATCGACTTGGTTTCTTAGCCAGGACCTCCCAGTTATGAGACCACTGCTCTACCACTGAGCCATCATGCCAACCCTCTTACTTAGAAGTTTACATTAAACAGTACCTACAGTATAAGGCTTAAACAAAACAGATGTTGTATTGCCCTTTAGGTGCTAAAACATGGGTTGGTCAGTCGGGAATCTTTTTTTTTTTACTTTTTTTTTTTTACTCCCTCTTTAGGCTGATATTTCTTTATATATAAAAAAAAATAAAAATAGTTTTGAATGCTTTAATACATTTTTTTCTTCTAAAAAACTATACTTATTTTCTTTTTTTTTAAAGACCAACCATAGATTTCAAGATTTTTTGGGTCGGTCGCAAAGGGCAATACAACATCATTTTTTTTTAACGCCTAATAACGATTTATCATTGTTCATATTATTAGTCTGTAGGCGACATAAAGTTACCTCATACTCCTGGTCAGATGTGATGATTCCTTCGATGCAGACGATCTGATATTGTTTGGCTTTCATTTGATTTAATGTCTTCCTCATTGACTTTAGAGAGTGACCGGTGATATCCCCTCTCCTGAAAATTGAACAATATTCAAACATATCTTGTTAATTCTAAAATGTACGTTTCATTCTCAAGGTAATTGAAGACATATTTGTCTTGACGCATACAATAAAATATTGTTTGGCTTTTTTCTGATTCAATGTCTTTCTCATTGACTTTATAGAGTGACCGGTGATATCCCCTCTCCTGAAAATTGAACAACATTCAAGTGTATCTCCAAAATATCAGATTCCTTCTCAAGATAATTTGAAGACATGTTTATCTTGTTCAGAAGATCTGATGTTGTATGATTCAATGTCTTCCTCAATGGCTTAAGAGAGCGACCAGTGATGTCCCCTCTCCTAAAACTAAAACATTACAATTTCAATTAATATTTTTTTTTTTCCATTAGCAGTCAATTTCTAGTCTGTAAGATTAAAATTTGAAAAGAGATACAACAACAACAACCAGCAAAAACGAAGAATTAAAATGAGCAATATCGAAGACATATTCATGAATCACATAAAGTGATGGTTAATACAATAGTAACAGTATCCAAGAAACTGCAAAGTGATCCTGATCATCTTTTGGAAATAGATTTCTATGTTTGCTAAAATTCGCTGTATAAATATTTAACATGAAAAGCTGATTTACTGACTTCCACAACTATTTAACACCAACGGTAGACAAGTTGGCCTTTTAGTTGGAATGGGCACTTCCCCTTTATGACTATTAGATAAACTGAGTCTACAATATGAGAAATATACTATGTTGCTGAATTAGAGATATTAAAACTGAAAACAGAGAGCTTGATAGTGTATTTGTGCCAACAAACTGGAATTGTTTTAGCTAAGTATTACACAAAATGCAATTGATTCCTAAAATTGAGTTTGATCTAACAGATTTTGTCTGAAGAATACTAAGTGAAAGAAAGTTGTTGTTGGTTGTATCTGTGGCATTCAGTCAAATTTGACTAGTTACACCTAGTCTAGTTCTTTAGTCATGTCGTGAGAATTCCTAGCTTTCACTCTGTGCGCCTGTGCCTCGCTGGTCCTCTACTGGGGAATGTTTCATCCCGGCCAACCCTGCTACGTACATTGAGCGAGCTTATCAATCCTTCGGATCTAGGCCACTAGGCCACTCTGAGTGAAAGAAAGAAATAACTGTTGCCAATTTAAAGGGAATATTGTACTGATTCAGCCCTCTCACAGTTTACACGGCTCTTACCTGAGAGCATTGGCATCAGCGACCCGGTGACTGGGGTCAAAGAGCAGAATTCTGGTCGACTTATCTTTCATCATGTCGTACCCAACGATTGTTCTGCTGTGGCCTGTTCAGAGGATATCAAACAGAAAAAAACATTATTACATGACATACATGTACAAGATTATTAAAAATACAATTATATAAACCAATCATGGTTCAAAGTCAGTGTTTTTATCAGGTCGTAATTTGTTTATGTTGGTTCCAAATATGTTTGATTCAGATCTGCGTGATAAACATCATTCTGTGTAAGACCAAACACTTGTAATCTCTTGAGAGAAAGAAGGCATTAACTCATATTAAGTATTAAAGGGATCGTTTAACAATGCCAAATGTGAGATGCATGGCCCTACGTGTTATCAGCATCTGTGATATTTTGTAATATTGAAGCCCTAAAAAATTGCGCTTCAAAATGATGATATCGTGAAGTGCCTCAAAAAAGTAAAAATCTTTGAGTGACCGGTTATACCATACTCGTTTTCCCCTATAGACTGTAGTGTTATAAAAACCGTTGGGAAAACTGTTTTCGAAATTTCAAATTCCAATCATAACTATCTTGATAATCAGACAGGCAATCATCTTGTAAACGTCATGGGATTCCTGACTAAGCTAAAGGTTTATAATTATGATTGCAGCCTGAGCTAAATCCAGGATTTTGTTTAGAATCTGAGACAAAGATACCCAATCCCTTTAATGTCCCTCTGGTTCTCAGCTGATGAAAAACAATGTCTTAATTGGGCTGAAGTTTAATTAAAGGCTCACAGTTGTAGGATCTCATGGGAAACTGGACACCACTCGGTGTTTACTCAGTAGCAGGTGATGTCAACCACCAAACGTGGATTTCACTTTTAGGTCCGACAGGTCGTATGCAATGCACTGTGTCCAGAACCACCGTAAGGCATTCTCAACATAACAACAAATTCCCCTCGCTCTCGAGATATGAAGGCAAGCTGGAGTCAATTTCTGGTGGGTCGACTGTGTTGCTGCCTGGGAGACCAGTGCACACATTCATTGGTAATTCACCCACAACTGGCTTCAGCAAATTATGATGGGAAACACATGGACACCGGTTAGTTTGCAGGCACAAACCCTGGTCAGTCGTAAAAGAGAGTCTGCACTATAAGAGTACCATAGGCCTCTTATAGTAGGTAGCTGGGCTAGGCTTTTCTCAAGGCACAATGATTTTTTGATAAAGTGTCAAATTAGGGTCTGTGCTTGCAGACTAGACACCGGCTACGATGTTGCTTTAAATGTTAGTTACGATCAGAATTACCTTCATGCTGGAAGTAGAGTGGTAACTTGTTGGATCTCACAGAGCTTTCCATAGAGAGCATTGATGGTTTACCAAAGTAATCCCTGATCCAGGCAAAGAGACGTGGATGGGTACCGTTCTGGCCGCTGGGTGCATGGAAGTCAAACAGTCTGCATCTGTTACAGGTTGAAAAAGAAGAGAAAAATCATCCAAGCTTAATGAGAAGTTTGAGTTCTGGGAAGAGGTGAAACATAATTTGTGAGCGTTATCATTGTATTATGCAAGTGTGGAAGAAAATCAGATAAGACATGTTCCCTGAAAAGCATGGCTCTTCATATTCTAAATATGGCAGGTAACAGCATAATTTTTTTTTGTGTAGTCCCATATATATCTTTCTGTGTAAAGTGCTTGTAACTTTACGAAGACTAGGCCAAATTTCTTATCATTTTAATGATTCCAGAACCTTGCAGTACACATCAAGACTTATATGCTAGATGATCAATCTTTTCTGATCGATTCCACACCGTTTCTTTTACTATCCAATCGCATGACCAGAACTCAACTTTAGCTTTAAAGCACAGTTCCTATGTGAATGAGGCCATAACCCCTTACGAACAAAAGAGAAAATGGGAAAGCATAGTATGGTTTACATATCTGTGTCTTCTTTAAATTCATGGATTGCGACAATTATGTCGCCTGACCAGACTTGACGGCGCCAGCATGTCAAGGTTCTGGAATCGTCAAAATGATAAGAAATTTGGCTTGTAATGTTACAAGCACTGTACACAGAAAGATGTATATGGAACTACTGGATATCTATCATGCAGTCCGGATAGATATAATAATTTACCACATATATCAATTATTAGGCTGTTTCTGGCCAAAATTTGTATCATCACGTATTAGTCAAAACATATTCTTTCACATGATTGGTAATAAGAGCTTCTATTTCATTTTTGAGAGGGGGGCGTTTCCAAAACTGGTCTTTACTTAACCGAATGAATAATGAGGGAGTTAGCACCCATGTGGCTTTCACTCAGCAGAGAGTCTATAAACTCACTTGATGCGGAGCGCTGAGAACATGGCCACCACTTCCGTGGCCCCGATCCACTTCCTGGTGTTGTGAACTTTGCCCTTCAGCTGGTCACGACCTTGGGCATCGAAACCCTTACTCCAAGCGTCCTCGATCAGTAGCTGGATCCGAGGAATAGAGGGAATATCTTTTCTTCCTGTGAGGAGAAAAAATAAACTATGGTAGATATTTGATTGATCAAGTCAATGATATTGAACCATAGAAGGGAAGGATTAAGGAGCTAAAAATTCAAAGCCCCCTTGCTCCTCCTTCTCCTCTTCTTCTTTGTCTGCCTTCACCTTCTCCTCCTCCTTTGTATTCTCCTTCTCTTCATCCATCTCACCCTTCTTGTTCTTGTTTTTATTTTTGTTCCTCTTCTTCTTCTTCACCTTCTTTTTCTTTTTCTCACCTACTGTAGCCCTCATAAAACTCTGTATAATACAAACAGAGAGTTGTCTATTAGGACGGACACCATTGTGGTGGTGGTGGTTATTTTTTTTTTACCTGGCTGCTAAGAAAGCATAAATGCTTGTTAGTAAGCAACCAGACGGCCGACGGCTTTAGGTCCTCTCCAAGAGACCTGGTAATGAGGATTAATGCCTTACCAAAGGGCACAAGCGCATCGACTTGGTTTCGAACCCGGGTCACCGACTAACAAGACCACTGCTCTACCAACTGTGCTATCCATCATCTGGATGCTGTCATACCTCTGCCCACTCTCACCCGCTCAAGCAACACCCTAGTCCACTGACTGGACTGTTTCCGTGTCGCGCGCCCAATCAGCTGAGAAAATAACACACCCTAAACGCTGAACAGGAGACAGACCTTGCCTATCATTCTCTACCCCAACTTTTAAAGGGTTTTTTTGTTTGGGGGATCGTGCGATGAGTGGAGACATTGCGCTGTGTGTGTGATGCATGTAAGGGAGGAGGACATAGATAAATGAGAAATAAAAAATATATAAAAACAGGCAGAATCTGGAATAGCAACTACCCTGGTCCAGTATTCACTACAAGACTCAATTCAATTGAATATCGGTCCCAATTTACTGCTAACAAAACCAAAACTATAATGAACCAATTTCAAAAACCGATTTTGGAAGGATACTACTCACCATTAAATACCACCTGTTTGAAGCGAGGCTCTTCTACCAGAGCGGATAGCATCATCTGGATGTTGCGGTATCCACAGCCCCACCCGGAATCACCCATGGAGGAGGAGAAATGGTCCAAGTTGTAAGAGAGACGTGCAAAGGACACGCCGTGGACCTTGTTGTTGTAGTAGTCAAGAAGTCTGGGAATGATATCTGATTGTTGAAGAAAAAAATAATAATAGTTGATGTTTTTTAAACGTTTCAATGTGAACTGTCATGTGGTATTTCGATGAAATCAATGATGCTCAATAATTAAGGCTTTGTTCACATGTAATGGTAAACTGCTGCAGTTTAGAAGGGGAAAGGGTGGGTTAACATAGTGCGCATCATATCTTTGTATCTTATAACACACAGATACGTGAGTACATGTATGCAAATGCCTTGCAGCATTGAGCTACCTTTTTTAATCACCACCTGCCGTTCATTAAGTACACACAAAAACACAGCAATGTGAATGAGCCTTTACTTCCTTGACAAATGGTTCAGACCTCACCCTTATCATAAATTCAATTGACACGTCTCTTTCTTAACGATGTTTTACAGCTTATACGGACACATCAAGGTCAAAGACACTGAGAGCCAGGCAAGGGCATCATCCAACACAAGTCCCTTCATGCATCCTGGAAAATTTGTCAGCACATTATTACTTTAAATATTTGCAAGGGGACCAAGTTAGTTTCTCTGAGACTGAAGAGTCTTACACAACTTTGATTGAGATCGTACCTTTTGTCCTAGACTGTCCAGAGTCCACTCCCGTAGCCATCGTTTCTTGAAGCGCTTGTTTCTGCTGATGGTAGTCGAAAGGGGTCATCTGACCTCGCCACACTGCCTTTGATGAGTTGCGCTCACTCTGTTTTCTGATGTTTCCCTTACCATCAGTCCCATACTTGGCCTTTTAGGGACACAAAAAGAGAACATCAAAGCCCATTGTAAACTGTACGATCTTCTGCAATATGACTTTTTAAAGAAATTTCATTGACATTTGATTCAGAAATGAAAACAAATCTCAACTTCCTGATTGAGATTCTGAATTATGAATGCCGACAATCAAACTATGAGTGCATTTACATGTAGGTCTTCCAGTAAAAGCTAAATCAGCTTCAAATCATAGACAATCACACGACTGAAGTGACAATTCTTAGCCGATTTTGAGATTCCCTCCTTTAAAAATGTTTTTACTTCATGATTCATACATATGGCTATATTCTGAACATTGATATGTTTCAATATTCAAATCAAATGCTACTGCAAATTCTTTCAAATTAGTTTGCAGTTCAGTCATACTGCATGAAGTGAGCTTAAAGATAAAGTTGAGTTCTGATCATGCTATTGCATTGTAAAGAAACGTGGAATCAATCAGAAAAGGTTGATCATCTAGCATAAGTATTGGTGTTTACTGCAAGGTTCTGGAATCGTCAAAATGATAAGAAATTTGGGTACACAGAAAGATGTACACGTATATGGGAACACAAAAACATGTGGCATAAAAATCTGTCCCGACTTTTATGATGTTATATGCCATATTTATATTAAGGCATTTGAAGTGCCATGCGTTTCAGAGAATATTTGTTATCTAATGTTCTTCCACACTTGCATAATACAATGATAGCACTCACAAATTACTTTTTATCTCTTCCCAGAACTTAACCTTCTCTTTAAGACTTTATATTTCTGCATCTCTGTGACTGATTGATGCATGGCAGCCAGGAGTATTGTACTGACATTATCTTAAATTCACATAGTAAAATTAATATGAGTAAAAGATTAAAAGAATAACAAGCAGTGATAGAGAATCTTAAAGTACCTGTAACTTTTTGAATTCCTCTTCCTCCTTCCTTTCCCGTTCTCGCCGCTCATCCTCAGCCAGCTGCTCAGCCAGCCTTCTGTCCATATCTGTCATTTCAGTTTGTCCACTACGACTGGTACTGGCACCATCATCTCCAGCTGATGGTCCCTCTACAAAGTGGCCTTCGACATGTGCATTCATTTCATTAGTTCCTAGCCCAACTAGCCCACATACAGGACAAGTGATGTCACCACCTCCCACAGCTCCATTGTCATGTGGTCTATTCCCGGTGCTCGTTTCTCCCACTGCACCTTCCGGATGTTCTGTGTTGATGTGGCTATACAGGAAATCAGTATCATAGCTTCCAAGTCCACAGATTGGACAGAGGATAGGTGATTGCACATTCTTGGAACTTTGGCTAAGGCTAAGAAGAGTTGGTTTATCAGGGTTTTGGGTCTTTGCTTTTGCATCCTCTGCCGATTTCGATTTGGCTTTGGTCGGAGTGGAGGTAGAGCATGGATTGGCATCGCTACTCGTGCTGGGGATATTGTCCCACTGGATCTCCTCTGCGGGCAGGGCATCTTCGATAAACTCAAATGAGTCATCATCAAGAAGATCAGGCTCAGAATCATTGGTAAGGTCGACCCATATCCCACTCTTTTCTTTCCTGTCCTCAACGTCAATTTCTGCTGTCCTTCCTGTGAGTGTTCTGAAGAGCTTACGAAATGGGCTGCTGGTCTCACTGGCCACACTCTCGTTCCCACTCCTGGATGACGCCTGAGTATCCAGTGACTGGTGGCTGTTCCGTCTCTCTGCATATTGCAAAATCTGTGACTGGCGGGTGTCTTTGGGTCTTACATCAGGTTCCTTTCTCCCTCTCTTTCGGTCATTCTGTTTTTGGTCTTGAGGTGTCTCTTCCCCTGGCCCCGTTCTGCCTGCCTCCAGGCTGATGATTTTCCTCTCTTTGAAACCCTCCTTTGATTCATCAATAATCATACACTCCGTCTCTGGCTCTTCTTGACCATTCTCATGGCCATTCAAAAGGCTACTTTCACCTCCGCCTACAGACACTGATGACTCGGCAAACAAATCATGTAAACTGCCGTTCACATCCATTGATTGTCTTAAATGACTTCCGTCTTCCCTATCACTCATATTGTGGTTCACATCAGTTTCATTTCCATTTTCTTGTGCTACATCTGCATCATCTACGCTAGCTACATGTATGTCTTTCTTGTGCTGATCAACAGAATCACCATTCTTAAGTTTTATACCCGATGGTTCAGCAAAGTAGTCTTCAATATAAATCAAGGAATTCTCCTCCTGAACTTCTTCCGCTACCACAACATCATCATCCCTGGTGTCATGTGCATGACTCTCCGTCCTGTAACTACTGGAGCTAAGTTTTGCAGCATAGGTCGGACTGAGTACATGGCGATGTGCTGTGTTCATGTGGTATGCCAGTTCTTCAACGGACACATGTGCAAGGTCGCATAAAGGGCATGACCCAGAGTTTTCCTCGTGAACCAGAAGCATATGTGTCCTGACCTCTGCCTCGCCAACGAACCCTTCCTGACCACATATTTCACATGTCTCGGAAGTCATAGCAAACTTGAAGGAGCACCAAGATCTTCAGCTGCACGCATCTCACTTTGAATCTCTTGCACTGCAAGGGAGATCATAATGAGAAGATGTTTAAGTAGTGAAATACAAGTCAAATGATTTTTACAGAACTAGAGAGAGAGAGAGAGAGGTAGAAGTTAAACAATTAGTCAATGGTAAAAGGTAAAAATGGTGACTATTGGACTGCCTATATTCTCCCAAACAATACATGCCATTCTTCCATTTATACTTAGGTCAGTGTATTGAAACCTTTTATAGAGTAAACTACTCTTGACTAAATAAAGCAGAAAAAATAAGAGAAGCAGAAGTTTGAATAAATTTTTTAAGAAAAAATAGGAGAAAGTTTATGAATTTTTGAAAGTTGTAATCACTATGGGCTCTTAAAATTGGCTAAGTCAGTAATGTCTCTGTGATGTATGTAGTGGTGGACAACTTTCCCATTTGTTCCAACATATACAATTACCAACAGGATAGATCTATGGTTTCATAACAATACAGATAGTCAACCTGTTCGAAACGTTGAGCCACTCATCGGCCTCTCCAAGCGCTATAGTTCTCCTCAGAACTATATGCTAAGAAAGATAACAACAGTCCTTTTCAGGACTACACACCCCCAAGAAAGATTACCAAGTCAGAGTCCTTTTTCAAGACTCCTCAACCCTCTCTCTCTCTCTCTCTCTCACATTGTGCACCGGCCCGCAAACCTACTGTATATCTACATCACCATGCAAGCCGACACTTACAAGCAGCATCTTTAACAATACAGTGTCATTGTCATGAACTTCGCGATCTATGACTCGCTTGTTCGTGCACAGGCCAATTACACGATTCGTATATCCATCGTGTAATTTTACAATACAACAAGATATGTCTACACAAAACTGATTTAGAATTTTAAATCTACAATTTCGACGAATCGTAGACCCTATTACTTAGTTAGGTCTAATAAAAATATTGTTACAGTATTCCAGCGAGCAATCAAATCTTGTAAATTTTGAATTGTGAAATCATGTTGAGGGCATTTTTGACGTGTATTGTATGAACGCACTAAACAGCAACAACATGTCAACAAACAACAACCCGGATACACAATTGCACAATCTGTCCGGACGTGGTCGTGGAGACACTGCACTAGTCTGGTAAGCCGAGACACTACACGGAAATAGATGAATGGGACAGCAGTCAACACTGAGCTGTACCCGATATGGTCTCCACAAACTATATTCTAGTTAATAGAACCTCTAGACTTCATTCGTTCAAGTTAAAATATACAATGCATACCATACTTCAAATACTTACATCAGCCAAGGTTTACTAGAGGACTTTGATCAATATCTGGGTCTTTTTGAATGGATAATCGTCGGTTAAAGCTCGGCTCGTCATGGGCGTCGATGGGAACCTGACCGGTGCACACTCCATCGATCGCTGGCCACCGGCACCGGAAGGTGGAGCTGACTGACCCTTCCCAGCCAGGGCACGACGGTGAGCGGTGATTAGGCCACTGTCCTCCTAACGAATCTTGCCATTCGCAGGGATCATTTGTGGTACATTACAAGGAGACCATATTCCCTTTTTCATCAGATAAAAATGAAATAAAAATAAATCAAGTCCTTCACGACCTTTCCCCTTGCCTAGTCACTCTGTATTATTGTGTGTCAATCCCATCCCATTTAACAAAAAACAGCCCCCCCCCCCCCAAAAAAAAAAAATGCACTTAGCAGACGGTCAATACGTACATTATTCTTTATTGGTAGACTAAAATGACGAATAGACAATGAGCCAAGTAAGTGGTCCCCACGTGGGAAGTACTTTATTTTGTCCGAAATGATCAATGGACCAAATTATATTTTAGAAAAAGGGTGAATGTTCACATCTCCAAATTTTGAGCATTTTCTTACAATTTTGATACAAAGTTGCAAAAATCATTTTCACAATCACAGTCACACGCACGCAAAACCTAAAAGTTAGCCTTGGGGTTTTATAATTACCAGAAGTGAAAACATGACCACCTCTATAGATTCTAAGATTTGCCAACATCATTGTAGAATACTTGAATTCACTCAAAAACTCCGAGTCCACTTACAAGTTACTCCAATAAGTTACAATTGGTGACATCTGAATGACAATATCGTACAATAAAGTTCACTCACGGATGTTGGGGAAAAAATACTTTAGAAAATTAAATCTAATTGATTGTACGGTCACTCCTGGTAACTGTCCCAGTTTTATTCATTGTATTCACTTCTGTGTAGTACTGCGAGTGCTGAATCTCTGTGCTCATACATATACGATATTGATAAACTGTTGAAGGTTGACCCGGCCATATGGATATTTCCAGAGGCGGCCCTCCCAGGGGAGGGGGGGGGGAGCAGGAGGGATACAATACCCTTCCACTTTTTCAGGCACCCAGAAAGTGATCCTTTTTACGAAGGAAAAGTACCCTATTTTACATAGAAAAAGTGCCCCCATTTTACAGGAATAGTGCCCCTTTTCAGGTATGAGAAGTGCCCCTTTTCACTTTTGATAAGTGCCCCCTTCACCTCTGATAATTGCCCTTTTCAAATCTGAGAAGTGCCTATTTTACTTTCACAAGTGCTCCTTTTCCAAAAGATAAGAGCCCGATTAAATAAAGAGCCCCTTCACCTTCTCATAGGTGCCCCTTCTCTGGCAAATGATCCTTTTCAGGCACGAGTAGTTACTCCTTTTCACTTCAGATAAGTGCCCCCTTCACCTCCGATAGATGACCCTTTAAAATCTGATCGGTGCCCATTTTCTTTCAACCAATGCACATTTTCCTTTATTATAAGTGCCCCTTTTTCATTCATATAAGTGCCCCTTGTCATATCTGGTCGTTGCCCGTTTCAGGTGCGATAAGTGCCTCTTTTCACCTCTGATAATTTTATTTTAACAATGATACGTGCCCCTTTTCGTTTCTAATAAGGGACCTATCCCCTTTTCATAAATGCCCCTTTTCACCTCTTATAAACGCCCCTATCAAAATCTGATGGGATCCCATTTTATTACCAATAGCTTACTTATAGGCGTTAAGATCACTCATTGCTATTTATGAGTTTGAATTTGAATATTTCTTGATTGTTTATGTTTTATTGGAAAAAAAGAATTATTAACTCATTTGCATGCATGTCATCTCAATCAGTATCAGGCGCGTACGCAGGGGGGTGTTTGGGGGGTTGAGTCGTTGCGATTTTTTTGAGACCAAAAAAAAAAAAAAAAGTGTCCGCTTACCCCCCCCCCCCCCCCCCCCCCCCCCCCCCCAATATTATAACACGTTATCTATGTAATTTGCATTCAGAATTTTGAAACACAGATGCATGGAATAATTCATAACGAGGCACTGAAATAGGCCATTTTCGTAATGTAACCAAATTTAAAGCATAAGTCTTTGTGGAGTGCCTCAATACATATTATTTCATTCACCTGAAACGAATAATAGTATTTCAATAGACAGCATCCGAATTGAATACATTAGTTGTTGGACAAACATTATGGCTTGACCTACCTAGCAACACTTAATATATGCAGTTGCATTCTGACTATTGAAATACTATTATTCTTATCAGGTGAATGAAATAACTTGTATTGAGGCACTAAACAAACACTTATGCATTACATTTGGTTACATTACGAAAATGGCCTATTATGGCTTATTTCTCTTAATTGTTATTACACACGCTGTTCTTTCTATTCTCAAATTTGTAAGAATAGACACTTTTCAACTGCAATGCAGTCCTCTAAAACAATGTATACACATAAAGTCAGGGAATGCCCTAATATAGAACTAATGAATGCAAATTGTATTCTGACCATTGGAATACCGAGCGCATGCAATAGGTCGCCACCGGGCCCCTGGGAGCGAAGCGTACATAAATCTTAATATTTTTCTAATTTGGTCTGTATAAGTGGAGTAGGGTAAACCTGTGATGATACAGGCGTCGCTGAAGATGCATCATCTAGTATTGGGAAACGGTCGGTCTTCTCTGAAACTGATTCGTCTCATGAGAATGGGATGAAATTCAAATAGAAGCCATGTTTGTCTTGTTCAAATCTAATGCTGAAAATCTGAACATAGAGTTTAGAACACACAAAATAGTGAATTGAAGATGAATGTTGCCTGTAAATGTGGAAATGTACTCTTTTTTGTAAATCAATTCCTTCGAAGTGCATTCCCATTAACTAGGATGAAATAACCTTTTTTTTCAATTACATTTTCAATTTGTATTATATTATACCAGTTCTGCGTTAGTGTCTCTCTCGCTTTAATCCTCTCTCACTTCTCTTCTCCCCTTCTCTCTCCCACTCCCTCTCCCTCTGTTCCCTTTCTCCTTATTTTCCTCCTCCACATTTTTCCTTTATTCCTGTCTTCCCTATCTGAGTTCTACTGAGTTTTTTCGTCGAATTATTGTTAAATAATGAATTGTTAATATGATGTTTTTTAAATATATAAAAAATAAAATAAATATATTTTAAATATATTACCAAATATCTTTATATTATGCATGCAATTCAGCCATTGGCTGCGATATGTTGATGAATAAATACCTTACCTTACCTTACCTTAGAAGCCATGTTTGTCTTGTTCATGTCAGCTCGTTTCATTAATGGTATACCCTCAATTGAAATGAGAGTATCTCTCTGTAAATATCGAGGCAGAGGAGGGGTATTTAAACGGGTCAATTGGTTTATTACTTCTCAAACACGTAAAATATATTATATATAAATAAAGAAGCCATGTTTGTCTTGTTCATGTCAGCCCTTTTTTATTATTAATGGTATACACTCAATTGAAACGAGAGTATCTCTCTGTAAATATCGAGGCAGAGGAGGGGTATTTAAACGGGTCAATTGGTTTATTACTTCTCAAAACACGTAAAATATATTATATATAAATATAGAAGCCATGTTTGTGATGATTAATGGTATACACTCAATTGAAACGAGAGTATCTCTCTGTAAATATCGAGTCATACGAGGGGTATTTAAACGAGTCAATTGGTTTATTACTTCTCAGAACACGTAAATATATTGAAAATGGCAGGGTACTACAAGTGGAATACAAGAATAGAAAAGAATATTATAGTGGTACAGTGGTTCATTCACTTGGCACTCAATCCAATGGTTGAGGGTCCTTTGGCAAGACATTGATCCACATTTCAGAGTATTGTAGTTTATTCATTTATAACAGGTAAATGAAATAACTCGTTCCTCGTTCCCTAGGGAAGAAACATCCATCCATTTGAATATGTTAGTAAACCGATCTATTCAGAGGTTAATGAATTCGAGGTAAAGGTCAAGGTATTCCTTAACTTGTGAACGATGAGTATTTATCTCGACCAATTCACCACAGAAAATTCAGGGGGAGGTCGACTAGCGAAGTCGAGTTTACACTCTCAAGTAAACCTAATCGAGAGAAAGTGTCCTGTGTGGGCAGATGTCCCGCCCCCCCCCCCCCCACTCCGGGATCGGAGGGACCGCATGCGTGTTTCCAAAATGTCCGGTAAAGGGGTACTTTTCACGCACCAAAATCCGGCCCGTATTGACTTTACACACCGGACTTAGGGGGATGTTTTCAAAAGGAGGGAACATGCATACGTGTACCCTAAAAACACTGAGTAGGGGGGGGGGGCAGGGCAGATGTAGTTCCTGCGCACCATTTCCCCCTTCATTTTACGGGTGTTGATGGTTAGGTCGGAGTGCATGTGGATGCAGGTTAGTTTTGGGAATGTTTATAAGCGTCATTATAACATAGATTAGGTTTACGGTTGACAAAAATGTTCTAACTACGATTGTTTAAACATGCGTTGATTGGGATTGGGGGGGGGGGTAAGAATTGTCAAATTCTTTTCGTACACTCTCTCACAAGTTGGATATGTCTTTGAGGACTGCAATTCTGTTTGAGGTTTCCAAACTTTAAAGTTGAAGGGTGTCTTCTTCTTTTAATAGGTTTTAAGACATTCCTTTTAATAGCTTGTTCTTGAAATAGTGCTTTGAGTATTATAAGCGAGCTGGGCAAAATGGCATCGGCTGAGGAAAGACAAGAATTTGTCAACCAAGATTATCTGTTTTTACGGTAAAAATGTTCCTTTTCAAAGAAAAGGGTATCAAAAATGGGAAATATATAAATACTAGAAAACGCTCCGCACAAAATACCTCATATCTCTGGCAAAATTTAGGTTTTTTTTGTTTTGGTCACACATTACTTTTAAAAGAATAATCATGTACATTGTTAGCGCTCAACACGGTTTGTTTGTTAAATGTTTGAAGACAAACTCAAATAAGTTTGTAAAATAACATTTTAATGGTATGCTTTATAATGTCCAACTTTTGGATAAAGTCTTCTCGTTAATATTGACTAAATTAAAAACACAATCATGATCGTGGGGACTTTCGAACTTAATGGGCAGTTGAATTACCAATTGGAATCGTGTTC